TCATCTTCCTCCCTTGGGGTGTCCCCCCATCTTCTCCCCATGTCCTCCGTGTCCCCTCCCCCATCGGATTTTCCCGCCATCTCCTCGGTGTCCCCCCCATCTCATGCGGGTGGCCGCCACTCCCGTCCCCTCTCCCATGTCGCTGTCCCCTCCCTCCTCGCTCAGTTTCCCCCCTCCCCTCCCCGTTCCGGTGTCCCTCCCTCGGTTCTCCCCCTCCCTCGCCAGGGGGGCGGGGCCTGGCGGCGGCCCCGCGCGCGCGGGAGGGGGCGTGGCCCGCGCGCTCATGCCCTTATAAGGCCACGGCGCGGGAGCGCGTCACCGGAGGGGCGGGGGACAGGCGATGACGTCACCGGGGGGTCGCGCGTGGGCTGCGGCGCGGGTCGCGTCGGGTCACGGGCGTTGGTCACCCCCCCATACCCCCATGGCGTCCCCCTTTGTCACCCTGCCATGTCCCCCCGTGTCCGTTTGTGTCCCCTCGTGTCCCACTGCCACGCCCACCCCGTGTCCCCCCATTAGGTCCCCTCGTGTCCCCCTGCCATGTCCCCCCGTGTCCCCCTGCCCCCCCCCCCCCCCCCCCCCATATTCCCATCGTGTCCCCCTGTCACATCCACCCTGTCCCTCGGTGTCCCCCTGCCATGTCCCCCCCATGTCCCCCTGCCTGCTGCCCGTTGTCCCCTGCCCTGCCCGTGTGTGCCCCTCCTCCTGCCCTCTGTCCCTGCCCGAGTTTGTCCCCAGTGTCCCCTCCCCGCTGTGTCTGCCCTATCAACCCCCCCCCGTGCCGTCTGGGGGTCCTGTCCCCAAATCACCCCCTGTGTCCCCTGGCTGAGACCTCCCAGGCTGGGCCCCAGTGTCACCCAGGTCCCTTGGGACTGTCCTGCCGCTGCTCTGTGTCACCCTGGGCCACGCCCCCCCCCCCGGTCCTGTCCTCTGTGTCACCCCTCAATCTGTTCTGTCACCCCTGGGTCCTGCTCTGTGTCACCCTGGGCCATCCCCCCGTGGGTCCTGTCCCCTGTGTCACCCCTCTGTCTCCTGCTTTGTCACTCCTGGGTCCTGTCCCCCGTGTCACCCCTAACCCCACCCCTGTTCTGCACCTCTCTGTCACCCCCTGACCTTGTCCCCCCCCATATCACCTCTGTCCCGTGGGTCACCCCTGTGTCACTCCCTGCCCTGCTCCCTCCTCCACGTGTCCCCCACCCACGTCCCCAAAGCCACAGGAAACGCCACCCGAGATCCCCAGGGGACACCCACAGCCCCTGGAGGGTAAAGCCACCCCACCCTGTGGCACCCATGGGTGCGGGAGGGACCCAGGGAGGGCGAGGGGACACTTCTGGGATGCTCCACAGCGTGACAGTGCCACGCCAGCCGAGCCCTGGTGGCAGAACAGAGTGACAGTGCCACCCCAGCCGAGCCCTGGTGGCAGAACAGAGTGACAGTGCCATGCCAGCCCAGCTTTGGTGGCAGAACAGAGTGGCAGTGCCACCCCAGCCGAGCCCTGGTGACAGAACAGAGTGACAGTGCCATGCCAGCCCAGCTCTGGTGACAGAACAGAGTGACAGTGCCACCCCAGCCGAGCCCTGGTGGCACCACGGCCGAGCTGGGCACGGCGGGTGCTGCTCTGGGTGCCGGGGGTGGCTTTGGTGACAGGGACACTGCAGCGGAGGCGGCCGGTGGCCTCGGGCCCGGCTTTGTTTGTTGTTTTGGTGGCGCTCGCCATGGAGACGGGACTTGTGCCAACGCCACCGGGGACACGGCGCTGCTGGCCAGGCCACCTCCCCCCCCCGGGCCTCAGCTGTCCCCCAGCTGCCACCAGAGCCAGGCCCTGGTTGTCCCCATCGCCATCACAGCAGGGTCCTGGCACCAGCGGTGCCACTGTGGGGATTGTCCCCAGCACGGCCACCGTGAGAGGTTTTGTCACCGCTGCCCCCACCTAAATCCTCAGGGGGGGTGTGCCCAGCTTGTCCCCGTCATGGTCACTCTGTCCCTGCTGCTGCAGCCACGCTGTCCCCACCACAGTCACGCTGTCCCTGTGTCCCCTGTGTCACCCCTGTCCCCACTGCAGCCATTCAGGCGCCACCCCATCCTCATCTCAGCCACCACAGCCACACTGTCCCCGTGTCCCCTCTGCCACCACGGCCTCCCTGTCCCCACCCCAACCATCCCATCGTCACCTCAGCCACCACAGCCACCCTGTGTGACACTGCCACCACAGCCACACTGTCCCCACACAGCCTCGTGTCTGCCTGTCACCACAGTGTCCCTGCAACAGCCACCCCGTTGTCACCTCAGCCACCACATCCACCCTGTCCCCATGCAGCCCCTGTGTCCCCCTGCCACCAGGGCCACCCTGTCCCCATGCAGCCCCCGTGTCCCCTTGCCACCAGGGCCACCCTGTCCCCTCCCCACCACAGCCACCACATCTTCACCTCGGCCACCAAAGCCACACTGTCCCCACGCAACCCCTTTGTCCACTTGCCACCGTGGCCACCCTGTCCTCATCTTGGCCACCACGGCCACTCTGTCCCCACCATGATCACTCTGTCCCCACCATGATCACCCTGTCCCCACCCTGTCCCACCATGATCACCCTGTCCCCACCCTGTCCCACCATGATCACCCTGTCCCCACCCTGTCCCCCCCAGGGCCACCCTGTCGCGGTGTCCCCCCCCGTGTCCCCTTCCCGGGGCGGGGCTGCCCCGGGCCCGGTGCCGGCTCGCTCGCAGCCCCGGCCGCGGCCCCGGCGGATCCCGCCCCGGGGGCGGGCGGTGCCGGGCGGTCCCGGTGACATCAGCCGTGAAAAGGGCGCGGGCGGCGGCATCCGGCACTGCCGCCCCGGGAGCGCGGGACCGGCGCCGCAGGTAGGGAGGGGCTGGCACCGGGCACCGGGCACCGGCCGCAGGTGGGCACGTGATGGATGCGGATGGCACCGGGCACCGGGAGCGGCGCGGGCACCGGGAGGGAGATGCGGACCGGGACAGCGGCAGGGCGGAGATGGGGACCGGCTCGGGACCGGCCACCAGCCCCCGGGGCGCGCCCGGTGTCCCCCGGGGTGTCCCCCCCGCCCGCCCCGGTAGCGGCTGCGGCCGGACCGCGCCCGCGGAGCCGCCACATCCACCCTGTCCCCATGCAGCCCCTGTGTCCCCCTGCCACCAGGGCCACCCTGTCCCCATGCAGCCCCCGTGTCCCCTTGCCACCAGGGCCACCCTGTCCCCTCCCCACCACAGCCACCCCATCTTCACCTCGGCCACCAAAGCCACACTGTCCCCACGCAACCCCTTTGTCCACTTGCCACCGTGGCCACCCTGTCCTCATCTTGGCCACCACGGCCACTCTGTCCCCACCATGGCCACCCTGTCCCCACCACGGCCACTCTGTCCCCACCACGGCCACCCTGTCCTCATCTTGGCCACCACGGCCACTCTGTCCCCACCATGATCACTCTGTCCCCACCATGATCACCCTGTCCCCACCCTGTCCCCCCCAGGGCCACCCTGTCGCGGTGTCCCCCCCGTGTCCCCTTCCCGGGGCGGGGCTGCCCCGGGCCCGGTGCCGGCTCGCTCGCAGCCCCGGCCGCGGCCCCGGCGGATCCCGCCCCGGGGGCGGGCGGTGCCGGGCGGTCCCGGTGACATCAGCCGTGAAAAGGGCGCGGGCGGCGGCATCCGGCACTGCCGCCCCGGGAGCGCGGGACCGGCGCCGCAGGTAGGGAGGGGCTGGCACCGGGCACCGGGCACCGGCCGCAGGTGGGCACGTGATGGATGCGGATGGCACCGGGCACCGGGAGCGGCGCGGGCACCGGGAGGGAGATGCGGACCGGGACAGCGGCAGGGCGGAGATGGGGACCGGCTCGGGACCGGCCACCAGCCCCCGGGGCGCGCCCGGTGTCCCCCGGGGTGTCCCCCCCGCCCGCCCCGGTAGCGGCTGCGGCCGGACCGCGCCCGCGGAGCCGCCGGGACACGCGGCCGCGCCCGGGAAACGGGACCGGGGTGCGGCTTCCGGCCCCGCCGTGCGGGGAGCCCCGGGGCGCGCCCGCGGGGCTGGCTCCGGTCCCCTCCCCGCCGCCGCCGGGGTGGCTGTGACCCCCCGGTGTCCCCTCCCCGCTGTCCCCGGGGGGCTCTGGGCAGCCCAGGGGGGTCGAGCCCTGGGTGCAGCCTCTCCCTGCTGTCCCCGGGGTGTGTCGGGGTCCCCAGGGTCGCCTTGTGCGGGTTGGGGTCCCCTTCCTGTTGGCGCTGGAGGGTCTCGGGGGTCCCAGGGTGGCTTGGTCCCAGCGGGGCTGGGTACAGCGCGTTCCCTGCCAGTCCTAGGAGAGAGCTCGGGGGTGCCCAGGCTGTCCCGGGAGACCCCCGGGTGGCTGCCCCATAACTGGGACCCTCGCTGTCCCCACGATGGCCGGAGGGTCCCCAGCCCAGCCGGATTGGGCGCAGCCCCTCCCGCGGAGTCCGGAGGTCGCCGGGGCAGCGGGGCTGGGTCCGGGTGTGTCCCCATCCCGCCTGGGCAAGCTCCGGCTGGGTCGGGAAATGATCCCAGTTCCAGCTCCTCTTTGTTTCCCAACGCCTTGGCCCCCGGCCGGCCGCTCCCCACGCCACCCCCCGCGGGGTCCCCATGCCCCTGGAGACCCCCGCGGTGGCCCAAGGCTTTGGCTCCGGAGGCACACCCGGCTGGGGTCGGTTTTCCTCCTGTCCCTGAGAGCAGCACGTCCCGGGGCTGCTCCCGGTGCTGAGACCCCCGAGCTTGGTGTGTGACAGGGCTGAACTCTGCCCCGAGCTCAGCCTGGCACCCCCGGGTGTGAGCTGGGCACCCCCTGGGCAGCAATTGCCACATGTGCCCAGCTGGCACAGGGACACCGGGGCAGGCAGGGCCACCTGCACGTGTTCTGGCTTCTCGGTGCCCCCAGATGCCAGCGGGGCAGGACAGGGCGTGGGGGCGATGCAGGGGTGGGCAGCCTCATGTGCCCACCACGGCTCTGGTGGGCAGAGGGCACAGAGAGACCCGGGGGGCTCGGAACACCCTGGCTGTACGGGCAGGGCCGCTCTGCTCATGTCCCCTGTGGGCATTATCTCCAGCACGGGTGGCACCGCTCCAGTGGCACCTTGGCACAGCACCTGGCCAGGGGTGGGGTCTGGCTGCCCCGCCGGGGTGGGGACACCGCCGCCATCAGCGCTGGCCCCACGCTCCTGCGCCAGCCCCGGATCTGGCTGCGGGCCCGAGCAAACGGGCGAGATCAGCAAACAAGCTCCGACCGGCCCCCGGTGGCTGCCAAGCCCGTGAGCGGCGCCGGGGCCCGGCCGCGGGATGGGGATGCTCAGGGTGGCACAGAGGGGTCACGGCGCTGCCCACCCTGCCCCTCGGGTGGGCACAGAGCCAGCGCCTGCTCCCGCCAGCTGGGCAGGAAGAGGGCAGAGCCCGGGCAGCGCCTGGCACGGGTGATAAGGCTGCACGCCGGACATCAGGCAGGACGGGGCAACGGGGCGGGGGCTGCGGTGCCACCGGCGCCACTGATGGGTGCCATCCCCGCAGACCCCCCTGCCGTCAGCATGGCAAACCGGGGCCCCTCGTACGGGCTGAGCCGGGAGGTGCAGCAGAAGATCGACCGGCAGTACGACCCCGAGCTGGAGCAGGTGCTGGTGCGCTGGATCCTGGCACAGTGCGGCAACGACGGCGGCGGCGCGGTGGCACAGCCGGCACCCGGCAGGGACGGCTTCCAGCAGTGGCTGAAGGATGGCACGGTGAGTACAGCTGGGCATTGGGGTGAGAGTGCCACACACCTGAGCCTAAGCCTAAGCCTAAACCTAAGCCTAAACCTAAGCCTAACCTTAACCCTACCCCTAACCCTAACCTTAACCTTAACCCTAACCTAACCCTAACCTTAATCCTGACCCTAAACCCCAACCAAAACCCAAATCCTAACCTGAATCCTAACCCAAATCCTAACCCTAACCCTAACCCTAACCCTAACCTAACCCTAACCTTAATCTTGACCCTAACCCTAACCTAACCCTAACCAAAACCCAAATCCTAACCCGAATCCTAACCCTAACCCTAACCTAACTGTAACCTTAATCCTGACCCTGACCCTAACCCTAACCCTAACCCTAACCTAACCCTGACCCTAACCCTAGCCCTGCCCCTGCTTTCAGGTGCTCTGCCGGCTCATCAACAGCCTCCACCCTCGGGGCCAGGCGCCCGTGGCCAAAATCCAGGCGTCGGCCATGGCCTTCAAGCAGATGGAGCAGATCTCGCAGTTCCTGCAGGCGGCCGAGCGCTACGGCATCGCCGCCACCGACATCTTCCAGACCGTGGATCTCTGGGAAGGTGAGTGACCGACCCGGAGGCCGTGGGGTGGGACGGGGACGGGGATGGAGATGGAGCTGAGGCTGCTGTGGGTCCTCCAGGGAAGAACATGGCGTGCGTGCAGAGGACCCTGATGAACCTGGGCAGCCTGGCCGTGGCCAAGGGTGACGGGCTCTTCGTGGGAGACCCCAACTGGTTCCCCAAGTAGGTGGGGGTGCTGGATGGGGAGGAGGCCGGGCTGGGGGTCCCTCGGGGACGCTGACACCCGCCGTGCCCGCAGGAAGTCGCAGGAGAACCGGCGCGTCTTCTCCGAGGACAAGCTGAAGGAGGGGCAGAGCGTCATCGGGCTGCAGATGGGCACCAACCGGGGCGCCTCGCAGGCTGGCATGACGGGCTACGGGATGCCCCGCCAGATCCTCTGAGCCCCTCCGGACCCCCCAGGCCTCTGCCTGCCAGGGCCCCCCCCCCAAAACTGCCTTAACCCCTCGCCGTGGACCAGCCGGGTGCCCCCCGGCCCGGGCAGCCGCCCCCTCGCCAGTTTTGTCAGGACCAAAGTAATTTTTTTATTATTATTATTATTTGGCTGGGTGGGGGCGGTGCTGCTGCGCCCACCCCACCGTCCCGCAGTGCCTTGGGGGCTGCTGGAGGGCCCCCCCAGGGGGTTGGGGAGCAGCCCCTGCACCCCAATAAACTCCCGTGATCCCAATAAACGGATCCTCTTCTTTCCAGGCCTGGATGGTCGTGATTTGGGGCTGGGGGAGGGCAGGGGGCTCCTGCTGGGGTACAAGGGGGGACCCCGGTCTGGGGGGGCAGAGACCCCACGGCCACGTGGAGGGGCGGGGCCACTACCAAGGGGGCGGGGTCAGGAGGGACTGGGCGGGGCAAGAGCAAGTTCTGGTTTTGTGTTGTTTGTTCTGCTCTGGTTTATAAATTTCCCAGTAAAGAGCTGTTATTCCTTTTCCTACACTTTCACCTGGAAGACCCCTCATTTTTGAAATTAAAAAAAGTTTTAGAGATGGGTCTTCTTTTCATTCCGGGAAAGCTCTCACTTGCCTTAGCAGATATTTCTCATTTAAATGATTTGCCAGCTCCTGGGTTCCAGCGTGGACATGCCAAGAGAAGACAGGGTCAGGGACTTGGCTACCTCATTCTCTGCCTTTTAAGCCAGTAGGGCCACCAAGAACCCTCTCCCCAGCTGGCATTTCTTGTCATGCGGCCACATGGCAGAGCGTCACACTGTCCCCACTGTACCAAGGCTGACAGACAGACTGACAGACGGGGCCCTGTCTCACCAAAAGCAAAGCCTGGCCCACCCCTGCCACACACAGGTGTTCCAAAATGTCTCCAGACATCAAACTCTTCCTGTCTCTAACACCCACCCTGTGCCATGGCCTGATCCTGACTGCCCTGGAAAGGGGGAAGGTTCCAGAACCCCCACAGGGCCTTGGTGACATCATTGTGTGGGGAACAGGGCAGAGGAGGGGTTTGGGACAGGGGACAAGAAAATCCAGAGCCTCCTGGAGGCTGCTTTGGCCATCAGAGCAGTGAAGGTCCAGGGCCCTGCCAGGTTCCTCTGGTGGAGGAAATGTGCTGGGGGAAATGTCTGGGGTTTGTTCCTTGTTGTGGCTTTCCCTGGAAATCGTTCCCTTTGTGAGCATTTGGACTCTGAACCTTGTTGCTGTTGCTGTTGGTTTTATTCTGTCTCGTTGCTGTTTTAGAAAATTGTTCTTCTCTCAGCCTTTTGGGATCTTTGTGCCTCCACAGGGAGGGAGAGGGGCAGTTTTTAGTGGCAGCACACACACGGGTGGGTGCCCATGGGTGGGGACCCCCAGTGCCCCCCAGTCCCCTCAGTGTCACAGCACATTCCCGTAGATGTCACCGGGTTCCCGTGGTGGCCCCTGGGGTCCCCGCAGCTCTGCGTAGGTCACCTGGGGATCCTGGAGGGTGGTGGCACGGGGGGACGCTGTGAGAGACACGGGCTGTGGGATCTGGGTGGGGTGACACTCGTGTCCCTCTGCGTGTGTCCCCCCTGTACTCACCCCCTGCCCTGTTGGTGACCACGACATGGGTGTACAGCACCTGCCCCTCCTCTGGGGGGGCCGGGGGATCCGGGGGGGCCCTGAGGGAATAAAGGGGATGTGGGGCAGGGAATGAGAGGTCTTGGGGTTGGGGTAAAAGGGGAGAGGGTGGTTTGAGCCCCCCACTCACCTTTCCTGCTGCTTCCTGGCAGCTGCAGAGGAAAGAGGGGAGGGGTGACTGTGGGGTCCCAGGGCACTGACCCCTCTCAGGATTCCTGAATCCCCACAGGACCCTCAAGCATCCCTGAAGTCCCCCAAAATTCATGAACATCCCCAGTGCCCCCCAAGCAACTCAGCCTCAAGAACCCAAAGCCTGGCAGGGATAGATAATCCCCAAACACCCCCAGGACCCCTGAAAGAACCCCCAACCTCCCTGCAGGACACTCCAGCACCTCCCCAAACCCTACAGGACCCCCAGCCAAGGTCACAGTTCAGGGGCTGTGGATGCTGCCCTATTGCTCCCCAAATTTGGGGGCCTCTACATCTCCCTGGGATCCCCCATCCCCCCATTGTCACCCACCCACACTGTGGCACCGGTGCCAGGCCACAATGACACCCACGAGCAGGAGCAGGAACAAAAGGGCCCCACCGACCCCTGCAGCCACTGCAAGAAACAGAGGGGGACACATCAGGGTCACCACTCACCTCAGGTGCCTTGCCCCCCCCGGTGACCCCGTGTGGCCTCACCTGTACCCCAGTGTCCCCTCAGTATCACAGCCAGTGCCAGCTCTGGGCTGAGTGCCCGGAACACGCGGTGCCCGTCCTGTCCCAGCTGGTTGGTGGCCACGCACTGGTAGGTGCCCGAATGTCCCACATCGATGTCCCCCAGCTCCAGGAGGGGACCCCGGGCCACCTCCTGCCCGTTGTGCAGCCAGGTGAAGGTGACAGGGGCTGAGCCCACCTGCGCCGAGCAGCGCAGGGTCACGTTGTCACCTGCGCGCACCTGGTGTGCCGGGGGACTGAGGGTGATGGTGGCATTGGCCACGGGCACTGCGGGGACACAGACAGGGCTGGCACAGGCGAGGTGGGATGGGGGTGCCGTGGGTGGGGTCACCCCCAGCCCGAGGGTCCCGCTCACCCAGCACGGTGACATTCAGGGGGTCACTCTGGGCCACGCTGTCCCCGTCGCTGACCCGGCACCGGTACTGGCCGCTGTCACTGTCCCCAACGTGGGGCAGCTCCAGGTGCTGGTTGGTGCTCAGCAGTGCCCCCGAGCCCTCCCGGTGCCAGGAGAAGGACAGGGGACCTGTCCCCATGGCCACCGTGCAGCTCAGCACCAGGCGGTCCCCGAGTGCCACCTGTCCCCCGGGGGGCTGCGCTGACAGGGACACCCCCGAGGGTGGGGCACCTACAGGAGTGGGGAACAAAGGTGGGATTGGGGACCCAGGGAGGGTGGGGGACACGGGAGGAGAAAGAGGGGGATTGGAGGGGAGCAGAGAGGAGCCCAGTGAGCAGAAGGGGTGGCATGGCTCCGCGCACCACGTCTCTCTCTGTGCCCCGTCCCTCCCCCGTGCCGGGGGAGGGTGGCTCCACATCGGGTTCGTGGTCTGTGCCGGCACCTGTGTCCACCATGGCGCCCTCTGCCAGTGCTGTGGTGGACGGCACTGCCGGGCGGCCGGCTGGTTCAGCCCCGCAGCCCCCGCCTTCCACACCGGCCGCAGCGCAGCAGGGCGCTGCGGTGTTCACCTTTAGTGTGACTGCTGACGCGGCCGGCGGGAGACCAGTGTTTTCCCGGGGCCGCAGATCCTCCCTGCCGGGTGTGTGGACTCTTCCCCCGTGCCAGGTGACCCTGCATCCAAAGGACCCCAGGCGATTCTAGGGGGAAGTCTGAGCTGCGGCCGATGAGGTACGTGAGCCTGTCTCCTTGCAGCATCTGCAGGATCGTGGAGGAAGCTCCTCTGGCTCTGCTGGTGCTGTGGGGAGTGCGGGGTTGAGTGCTGTCGCACTGCCTCGCAGTCAGGCAGCTGCTGTTGTTCCCATGGGGCCCACGGAACGGGACACGGCAGGTGCTGCAGCCTTGCCAGGGGGCCCCCAGGCTTTCCCTCTGATCAGGGGTCTTGCTCATAACACCTATGAACCCCTGTCATTTAAGACAAGGACAAAACTCTGTGAGACAGTTGCTTGACATGATGTGGGCTCTACTGAAGTTATGCAAATGCTTCGCATGATTTCTCCTGAGGTGCATACACCTGCCGATGTCTGTGAAGTGGCACGTGCTCTTTTTGACCCTGTGAAATTTGGCGTTTTTGAGACCAAGTGGGCTCGCTTCGCAGCCACCGCAGCGCAGCACAATGCTATGCTGGGGCCGCAGGATCCCAGGAGGGTGGCTGGCATTGACATGCTAATGGGCACAGGCAATTATACTGATCCTCAGGGACAAGCTGGCTTTCCTCCCTGCGTGCTTCAGCAGTGTCAAGAACTAGGCATGTCGGCAGTGGTTCGGACCATGGAAATGACTGCTCCAAGGCAGCCGTTTGCAACCATTGTCCAGAGGGCTGATGAGCCTTTCATGACATTTGTGGGGAGGCTGACTGCCTCAGTGGAGAGGCAACTGACAAATCCTCTGACAAGGGGGGCTGTGATTGTGGACCTAGCGAGAAGCAACTGTAATGCAGATTGTAAGAGAATCATAGAGGCTCTTCCTGGTGAGCCTACTGTTTCGCAAATGACAGAGGCCTGTTCGGTCATAGGCCCCCCTGTTCAGAAGATGGCTGCCTGGGCTACTGCTGTGCAGCCGGTCTGGGCGGCACCACAGGGCTGGCAGCGACAGCAGGGGAGTGCTCAGGGCAGCAAGAAATGGGGGAAGAAAGCACAGAAGGCAAAAATTCCTATGTTTCTGTGTGGTCGGTGTGGAAGGCCAAACCATATGACGAATGTCTGCAAGGCAACAGTTCATGCTAATGGCCAAGTACTGCCAGGCTCAGGAAATGGGAAGCGAAGCGCGAAGGGGAGACGTGCTCAGACACAAGCTTCTCTCCAGACCCCGGAGCCGATGGAGGTTTGCTCAGCCAGCTTGCAGCCAGCACCCGCGGCTCAGCAGGTGTGGACGTCTGCACAGCAGCAACAGTTGTTTTAGAATCTTGTGGCGGCTCTTCAGATGAAGGGGAAGGAAGTGAGAACAGGTCCGTCCCCACGTCTTGGTGGCCCTTGGTGGGGGCAGGGTGGCCACAAGCTGGGGACAGGGTGGGGACAGGATGGGGACAAGGTTGGGTGGCACACGGTGGGACATGGGGTTGCCATGAGTGGGGGGCTCAGGGGGATGTGGGCAACCAAGGGTTGCTGTCCAGGAGATTGGGGTTGCAGGGGAATTGGGGTCTCCATGCCGGGGGGCATTCAGGGATGGATGTGCTGTAGGAGCATGGTCCTCAGGGATTTGGGGTCATGGCATGTGGGTGCCAGGGTTGGGGGTGCATGGGGAAAAAGGGGACCCTCGGGAATGGGGGTTCTGGGGGAAGAAGCAGCCCATGGGATGGGATCAAGGCAATGGTGGTCCTGGGCAACGGCAGTCCTGGGATGGGGGTCCCCAGGGAGTGGAGACCAAGGCAATGGGGGTCCCATGGTTGGGTTCCCAGGGGAATGGGGGTGCCAGGGATGGGCAGTGGCTGGGTGGGCACGGGGGTCACAGCTCCTTCACGGGGTGCCTCAGATTTTGGGGTGACCCAGAGCCCAGCACAGCCCCCACCCTGCGGCACCCCAGGGCTGTCCTGGCAGGCTCTGTGTCCCTGCCCCACACACCCCCGGGTCAGGTCCCCCCAAATCCTGCCTCAGCCATCCCAGGCAACACCAACCCAGTTGGTTGAGACAAAATTATACATCCATAGAATAAAAGGAAAAAAATCTTTCCCACACCATTATTTTCCCAATAAAGAACAAACTCGTCAAAAATCAAACTGACGAGGTATAAATTGCTCTGGTTTATAGAATCCATTGCTCTCCCAACAAATGACCCAGAATAAAAACACAAACAAATCACAAAGAAATGAGACTTTTTGGTTCCCTTTTGCAGCCCCTTGGTGCATTGCACAGCAGCGTTTGCTTGTGGATAACAGAGTGTGGAATCTCCCTGAGTGTCCAACAGCTCCATGGGATTGTTCCCTACCTGCTAGGCAGCAACCCAGCCCCTAAGGAAGCATTTCTTTGGCCATATTTAGGAAATCTTCCCATTTTTCTCATTCTCACCCTGAAACTTGATTGGTTTCCCGTGGAAGAAGGGGAGAAGCTCTGTCCATCCTTGGGACAGTGCACAGGAATCTGTGGAAATGCCTGTGTGTGCCTCAGGGTCTGATTCCACGGAAAATCCTCTCCAGCCTGCCCTGGATTCCCCTGCCTGGGCACTCCCTGCTCCTGCTGTGACACCCCTGTTCCCCAGACCCACGTGTGCAGCCCCTGCTCAATATTTCCACACTTTTCCCTCTCCTTTGCTGTGCACATCCAGAACACAAACATCCTTTCCATGAGGTCCCAAAGGGCTGCAGGTTTTGTTCAAGAAGGGTCCAGGTCAGGTTGTTGAGCACATTGTTGTGGGGTTTGCAGTAGTTTTGTGGTTTTCTCAGTCCTTTGGGCAAAGGGACAAATGATCAATTGCTGCATTTCTGGACTGGTTCCCTCACAGCTGCCCTTGCAGGGGGGGTTTCCAGCCAGCCCTGCTCTGAAAACCATCAAAGGCCCTCACAGAGCCACTGCTTGGGCTCCCTTTGGGTTTTGTGCTTCTTGCAGGGCTGAGCAAACCACAGGCAGGGTTTTTTCTACCACAGAATTCTCACCTCTGCAGTAGCTCTAAAGCTGCCAGAATCAAAGCCAAGGGGGCAGGGGGGACCCTCAGGTCCTGGCTGCCACCTGGGGCTGGCCAGAGCAGAGCTGGGCAATGGCCACTGGCTTCAAGGAGCAGGAGTTTGGGGGCTCCTTCCTGCCCGGGGCTCGGATCCTGCAGGGGATGAGCAAGAATGGAGAAGTCTGGACCCCCCTGGGTCCTCCATCCCCCAGGAGAGGACCCCCTTGTCCAGCATGTGTCCCCCCTGGGACAGGATCCCCCAAGGCCAGCAGGGCATGGAGCCCAGTGTGACCAGAGTTGTGGGGTGGCTTTGGGGTCAGGAACTGGGGACAGGGAGGGGAACTGGGATGCGGGGACAGGGACAGGGGGATGGAGATGTGGGGACAAGGATGTGACAGAAGGAGCCTTGGGGCTGGGGCAGCTGTGGGGACAGGGACACAGGGATGCAGGACAGGGACAAGGGGACAAGCACCCTGTGCTTGGGCCATGGGGACAGGTGCCAGAGGAGTGGGACCATGGGCACAAGGTCATGGGGCTGTGGCTGTGGGGCTGGCAGGGGTGACCTGAGCCAGCACAGAGACCTCATGCCTGAGCATGGCTTGGCTGCTGTGTCCCTGTCCTCAAGACATCTGTGCCACACCCCTGTCCCCACAGAGACCTTTGGGGACAGCCCCCACACCCCGTGTCCCCGTGCTGCTGTCCCCACAGTGCCACCCCCCTGTGTGACCAGATCTGTCCCCGGCTCTCATCCCAGAGCGAGGAGATTTCCCCCTCCCAGTGGGTGGCCCCTGGTGCCTCCCGGTGCCATCATCACCCTGCTGATGCCCCTGGTGTGACATGTCCCCTCTGTCCCCCAGACCTGCTGGTGCTGCAGGTGCCAGCGCGGGCCCTGCTGGAGGGGGACAAGGTGACACTGCGCTGCCGGGGCTGGCGGGACAAACCGCTCACAAGTGTGAAATTCTACCGTGAGGAGAAGCTTCTGAGGGGGCCCCCGGCTGGGACGCTGTCATCGGGGGCTGTCACTGGTGGCACCGCTGGGGTGGGTGACATTGGGGGGGGATGGGGGTCCTGGAGTGAGGGGAATCCCCCAGAGTGGGGGCAGAGATCAGCAGCACCCAGGGCCCCTGAGCCTGGGGGAACTGAGCCCACAGTGACTTCGGGTGGGGATCCTGGGGTATTGGGGGGAATTTGGAGTACTTGGATGGGCTCCAGGGGCATCCCCTGGTGGGCTTTGAGGAACATTGGGGTGGCACTGGGAGCTCCTGGAGGGTTTGGGGAGCTTCTGGAGGGCTGTGCAGGGATGTTGGGGGATCTTTTTTTGGGGTCCTGGGGTAGTTTGGGGTGTGCCCCTCTCTGCCAGGCTTGGGGTTCTGGGGGCTCAGAGTGTGGGGGGCACCGGTGGGGCTGGGGGCCCTGCGGTGGTGCAGAAGTTTTGGGGGGTTCAGGGATGCCTGGAGAGTCTTGGGGGAATCAGGGGCCTGGTGGGTATTGGGGCTGCAGTGGGGATTTGGGGGTCCTGTGGATGCTTGGAGCTGCTGAGGTCCCAGGAGGGTTCAGGGGTCCCGGGGTCCCCTCAGTCACCCCCTCCCCTTTTCATTGCAGCTGCCAGGGAGTCCCAGGACAGGTGAGTGGGGGTCTCGCTCCGGGACTCCCCTTTCCCCCTCCCCAGACACCCTCCAAACCCCCCCTTTTATCCCCACAGGACCCCCCTGAAGAGGGGGCTGTGCTGGACCCCCACCAAGGGGGCAGGGGGTGCAGGGGGACACGTCACCCACAGGTGTCACCTCCCACCCAGGTCCCCACCACCGGTGTCACTCTCAGGGCCCCCATGGGTGTTCCCCAGCTCTGCCCCACCTCGGGATCTGCAAGTGACCAACGCGGAGCTGTCGGGACCCCCCGCGGGACAGCGGGACCCCTGTGACTACGAGAACATGCTGTGACACTGGGGGGCACTGGGGACACTGGGGGGCACTGGGGACACTGGGGACACTGGGGACACTGGGGGTCCCTGCCCCAGGACACCCCCTGTGTTTCTCCCCACCCCAGCTCCCCTGGGTGCCCACCGTGCCTGGGTTTGGGGGTTCCAAACTCCAGAGCTCCCCGTTCCAGCGCTCCCAGTGCCCCCAGGGTCTCCCCATTCCCTCCCCCAGTGCCAGGGGGCACAGGACCCTTGTCCCTCTTGTTGGACCCAACGGGCAGCTTTTTGATTAAACTGGGAGAAATGGTTTTTGTTTGTTCAGCTCGGGATTGAGGAGGGTCCCGGTCAGGTTGTTGAGCAGATCGTTGTGGGATTTGCAGGATTTTTGGGGCTCCCTCCGCCCCTTGACAGTCACCACGGTGCACCGCCGCCAACAGCGCTCCCTGCCTGTTCCCAGGGAAACCACACCCCCTGTTTCCATGGCAACACACACCCGTTCTCATAGCAACAGCATCCCGTCTCCATGGCAACAGCCGCCGGTCAGCAGCCCCCTGTCCTCACACCCCCAGTCGCCCAATCCCATGGCAGGAACACCCTTCTGTTCCCATGGCAACAACACCTTTCTGTTCCCATGGCAGGAACACCTTTCTGTTCCCATGGCAGCAACACCCTTCTGTTCCCATGCAACAACACCTTCCTGTTCCCATGGCAACAGCCCCCCGGTCCCACGCCCACATCCCCTCGTTACCATGGCAACACCCCCTCCCATTCCCACACCTACAGCCCCCATTGCCATGGTAACAGCCCCCCAAGCCCATGGCACCTGTAGCCCCCGCTCCCATACCCATCTCTCCCCGTTGCCATGGTAACAGCCCCTCAGTTTCCATGGCAACACCCCCTGCTTTCCCATGACAACAGCCCCGTTCCCATAGCAACACCTCCGTTCCCACGCCCAGAGCGCATGCGCCGCACTCTCCCCGCCTCTCCGTCTCTCTGACTGCATTTCCCATCACCCCCCGCGGCCCGCGGCGCGCTAACGGTTCTCGGCAGCTCCGCGGACTCCATTTCCCATCGCACCCCGCGGCGCAGACGGGAGGGGCTGAGTCCCTACGGCGGCCGGCGCGGGCCCGGTCTCGTGACGCGCGCCGTGCGCGGACGCCAAGATGGCGGACGAGGAGGGCGAAGCGCGGCCGGGGGCGCGGAACGGGGCCGGGGAGGGACCCCCGGGCGGGCCCCGCGTCGTCCGCATCGTCAAGTCCGAGTCGGGCTACGGCTTCAACGTCCGCGGGCAAGTCAGCGAAGGCGGGCAGCTGCGCAGCATCAACGGCGAGCTGTACGCGCCGCTGCAGCACGTCAGCGCCGTGCTGGGCGGAGGGGCCGCCGACCGCGCCGGGGTGCGCAAGGGGGACCGCATCCTGGAGGTGTGAGTACGGGGGGGCCGCCCACCCACAGCCCCCCGGCAGCCGGCCCCGGGAACGCGCCCCACACACACGGGCTGAGGGCCGTGAGGGGGCTGGGGGCTCTGAGGGGGCTCTGAGGGCCGTGAGGGGGCTCTGAGGGCTGTGAGGGAGCTCTGAGGGGGCTGGGGTCGATGAGGGGGCTCTGGGGACCATGAGGGGCTCTGGGGGGCCCGGGCTGAGGGGACTCCGAGCCCTTGGTGCGGTGTTGGGGTGCTGAGGGGGATCTGTGTGGCCTTGGGTGAGGATGTCATGAGGGGGACTGAGACCCCCGGCTCTTGGGGGGGTTTTGGGGGGTCGTGAGGGGGCTGAGGATCGTGGGGTGAGGAGGGACTGAGACTCCTGGGCCTTTCTGGGGGTTTGGGGGGAATCCTGAGGGGGCTGAGCGCCCTTTGGTGATGTTTGGGGTGTCATGAGGGGGATGAGGGTCCCTTGGTGAGGGTGTCATGAGGGGGGGTGAGACCCCCAGCCCTTGGAAGGGATCTGGGGGTTCTGAGGGGCCTGAGGGTCCCTTGGTGAGGGGGTCATGAGACCCCCCCCCCATCCCTTTGTGGGAATGTGGGGGGGTCCTGAGGGGTCTAAGGGTCCCTTGGTGAGGATATTGTGAGATGGGGTTGAGACCCCCAGCCCTTGGTGGGAATTTGAGGGGTCCTGAGGAGGCACCAAGGGGGCAGAGGATCCCTTGGTGAGGTTTAGGGGGTCCAAAAGGGGGGTCTTGAGTGGGCTGAGGGTCTCTTCCTGCGGGTGTCATGAGCCCCCGGTCCTTGAGGGGAATTTGGGGGGTCCTGAGATGGGGGCTGAGCCCCCCAATCCTCACTGGGGGTTTTGGGGGGGGTCTTACAGGAGCCTCTCAAGGGTGAACCCTTGGATTTCAGCATGGGGAGGTCAGGGGAGAATTTTTAGGGATAAACCCCTTGGATTTCAACATAGAGACTCCCAGGAAGGGCAGGGGACATTTTTAGGCATAAACCCCTCAGAGTTCAGTGTGAGGACCACCCTGGGGAGGGCATTTTTAGGGATAAACCCCTTGGATTCCAACCTGGAGACACTTCCTTCCTGTTCCTATTCGTGTTCTCCAGCTGCTGCTTTTTCACACCCAAAATTGTAACTTTGCCCCAGAAAACACCTTCCCATGGGAATATTCCTGCTGTGTGGAAACTCATCTTCCTTTCCCCCCAAAAAACCCTTAAACTTTGCAGCTGGTTTTGGGCTGAAATCCCTCAAATCCCAGCGTGGGGGGTTGGTTTTCTGGGATCCCTCCGGATCCTCCCACCGTCGCACTTCGCTCCGGGTCGGTTAAGTCCAATTACTGATTAATTCCAGGGATTTCCGAGCTGCAGGAATGTTTTGCTGCCAGCTCTGGAAGTCCAAGGGGTGTGAGGAGCTGTCAGGACCTGCAGAAATCCCAGCTGGGATTTGGCTCTGTCCCAGCTGACCCAAATTCCCGATTCTTTGATTTTTCCGTGCGGGAGAAGCGCTGGGAGCAGGGGGAATTCTGCGCCTGGATGTGCCAATTGGGGGAGCAGCATTCCCAGGCTGAGGGGGAAAGGGTTTTGTGGGCGCTGGGATGAAATTTTCCCTCATTTTTGAGTGGTTTGGGGAACATTTACAACGCTGGGTTTGGCATGAGAGAGAGGTTTGGAGCTTGGTGCTGGAATTTTGGGGTTCAGTGGCTGGTAACAGGTGAGGGCTGGAGGATGGTGTGTGAAATAATTAAGCCCTGAGGTTAATGATGGTTAATGAAGGGGGTTTGCTTGTGGTCTGCCAGATCCCTATGGGAGGTGGAAGGATTGGGAATTTCCTCTTGGTTTATTTGTTTGTTTCCTGGGAGAAGTGGCTTTAATTTGTCCCTGTGTCCTGTAGGGCTTCCACGTTGGCTCTTATTCCTGTATCCCAACATTTCAATATTCCAGTATTCCTGGATCCCAGTATTTCCATAATCCAGTGTTCCAATATTTCAATTTCCCAATAGCCCTGTTTTCCAATATTTCAATATTCCAGTATTCCAATTTTCCAATAGCCTTGCATCCCAATATTTCAATATTCCTACATTTCGGTATTCCTGTGTTCCAATATTTCAATATTCCAAGATTTCAATGTTCCAATATTTCAATATTCCTATATTTCAGTATTTCAGTATTTCTGCCTTCCAATATTTCAATATTCCTACGTTTCAATATTCCAATATTTTGATATTCCAGTATTTCAGTGTTGCAATATCCCAGTATTCCAACACTGCTATATTCCTATTTCCCTACATTCCAATACACCAATATTCCCATAATTCAATGTCCCTATATTCCAATATCCCTATTTTTCTGTATTCCAAGATCACCCAATTCCCATATCCCAGCATTCCCATCTTTTGCTGCAGAAAGCACCCCAAAATTCCCGAGTCCCATCCCTGTTCTGGCAGCATGAAACTTCCCTCATTTTCCTCGGATCTGTGAAAATCCCAGCTCCTGGAATTCCTGGAGGAGGAAACAATAACCCAGGACTCCCAAAATAGCTCTGATTTCCCTTCCTTTCACGGGAGCGGCGGGATCGGGGCGGGAAATCCGCTCTCCCGGCCATCCCGGTTCCTCCAGAGGGAACTCCCCAAAATCCAGGCCCTGGAGCTCTGGGAGGAGCTGCCTGCGTGGATTTGGGATGTTCAGGGTGTTGATTCCATGCAGGATTTCCTTCCCACCTCCTGGAATTCCCAGCAGACCGGCCCCGAGGAGGGGAATTTTTGGGGAAGAAGAGCCTGAGCGAGGAGGTTGTTCTGCTCCTGAGGAATACCTGCTGGGATTTATGGGGGATATTTGGGATGTGGGCACTCAGCTGTGGCTCTGGCACTCCACAGCTCATCCCTGTCCTGGAAAAGCCTGGATATCAGCCACTCAAGCATGTTTTCCATGAAAAATCCACTCTTCCCCATCCTCATCCAACACCAGCTGATGCTCTAGGTGCTGCCTGGGTGCTCCAGGTCCTTTTTCCATCCCTCCCTCCCAGATCCAGCATCCAGCTCCTCCCTGTGCCTTCCCAAGGCTTTGGAATGCTCCAGAATCTCTGGGAGCATCCAAGTCAGACAATGGGAGCTAATTGAGCTCTTGATTAGCACCCGGAATGTCGATCATCCCCGATCCACAGGGAAGAGAAGCTCCAGAGCTGCTTGGAGAAGGACAGAATGGAGGAAAAAGGGATTTATCCGTAACATTGAGTGGGAATATGGCTGGACTTAGGTGGGGTGGGCAGGGCTGGGGGATCCTGGATCCTACCAGACTCATTCCTGCAGCAGGGAAACCTCTGGAACAGGTGCAGCACTGGGAAGGTGTCAGGTTTTGATGGAATAACCTCCGGAATCGGCGTCTTCCCAACATTCATGGGTGAGGCCAAAGGCTTTTCCCTCAGGAGGTTGGACTGTCCCTCTCTCCGTGGGCTCAGTTTTCATTTATGGGATGGAAAAGCCAGCTCTGCCTTGGAAATTTTTGGCATTGTTTGGGATGAGTTTTCCAGATGGAGCAGGTGCAGCACTGGGAAGGTGTCAGGTTTTGATGGAATAACCTCCGGAATCGGCGTCTTCCCAACATTCATGGGTGAGGCCAAAGGCTTTTCCCTCAGGAGGTTGGACTGTCCCTCTCTCCGTGGGCTCAGTTTTCATTTTATGGGATGGAAAAGCCAGCGCTGCCTTGGAAATTTTTGGCATTGCTTGGGATGAGTTTTCCAAGGCAGGTTTGATCCGCGTTTTCTGGGCAAAGCCAAATCCAGAC